ATCCCCAGCACTGCCAAGAAAAGAAAAAGTTTACCTTCATTTATGCCATTTCCAGTGTGTTTTTTCAGTGCTGGGAATTGAATCCAGTGCCTCACGCATGCTAGGCAAGTCTGGGCCCCTTCTTTGTAATTTTTGCTCCAAAAGATAAGTAACTATCTGAAGAAAAATAGTAGCAATTAATTGTGTCATTATAGAGCATATAAAGATAAATATATGAAAAACTAGTAAATATGGGAAACAAGCCTGGTGTGGTGGCCCACGCCAGTAATCCCAAAGACTCAGGAGGCTGAGACAGGAGGATCACAAGTTCAAGACCAGCCTGGGCAACTTAGACCCTGTTTCAAAATGAAATATAAACCGGGCACAGTGGTGCAGGCCTGTAATCCCAGAGGCTCAGGAAGCTGAAGCAAGAGGATAGAAGTTTAAAGCCAGCCTCAGCGATTTAGTAAGGCCCTAAGCAATTTAGCAAGAACTTGTCTCAAATTTTTAAAAAAGGCTGGGGATGTGGCTCAGTGGTTAAGCACCTTTAGGTTCAATTCCTAGTATAAAAAAGAAGGATGGGGAGAAGAAGAAAGAAAGAAAGATAAAAAGGGACAGGCCTGTTACAGCAGGGGAGAAGGTTTGGGCTCTGAATTGGTCACTTGCATATGAAAGCTGGGCTGGAGGGAGAGCTTTAGGCTATCTTCAGGAGTCTACAACTGGCAGGAGACAGTCCCTCTCCAGTCTACAAGGCTCCAGCTGTCAAAACATCAGATACAGAAACTAGAAAATGTGGTTTATACTGGATCATTTACACCCTCCGTCCAGGGTCATGCTGAGTTGGCTTGGAAGCAGAGCCTGAGATGGACATTCCCAGATGAGATTCAGAGAGGAGGTGGAATGTTCTGAGTCTGAATCTGGTGTTCTCAGGAAGGGGAGCAAGGGAAGCACAATGTGGCAGAAGAAGGAGCTGAGCCAGGATGTCCACACTGATCCCACAGAAAGCCCTGGAACAGGAATTGCACTATTTCCTTAATCCTGACTTGAAGCAAGGGGTCAGGCTTTTAAACCCTTTTCAGTCACTGTCCCCAGGGCAGAGGGAGCACAACCTCCCAGACATCCCCTGGAGAGGCATGAAGAAAGTTGTAAAGGGGCAGCTGTGAGAAACAGCTGTGGGGTGGGTGCCCCAGCCACTAACAGCATCTGCTACAACACCCTCGCCCAGTGCGCCACTCAGGAGCCACATCCCACTGGCGCTTCAGAGATAATGTGTTCAAAGCTGCTCTTGTCACCTTCCCCCCACACTCATCTCACTCACACACCCCAGAAATCTGCCACCCACAACAATGCTCTCAGGAAGCGCCACCACCTCCAGCCCACCAGGGAATCAATCTGCCTCTCTCTTCTGTGGGACAGTTCACTCCAGTCAGCTCCACAGAGTTAGCTCTGGGCCAACTCTACCTCTCTCCTCTTTCTTCCTCTTTTTTTGGCTTCTTTCCTGAGAAGACACGTCCTGGTTTCTCTCCCATCCCAGTCTCCCTTATCACATGCACTGAGGAGGCTAAGAGGGACACAGAATCTCACCCTGCTGAAGCTATCATCACTTACTCCCTGCTGCTCTTCAGGACCAGAGGGGGGGGGTCTAACTCCAGTCCCACCCTGCCCCGCCATCTTGCATGCCCGCCTTGAGCACTAAGCACCCCAACCGTGCCTCACTGTGTCTCTGCTCAGGTTGCCTTCTCTCTCTGGAACACTCTGCCTTCCCCCTTGCCAGGCTGAGAATCCCTCCTTCACATTCCCAGAAAACTGTATGCCCATGAAACCCACCATCCAGATCTTCCCTGTCAAGGTGAATGGACAAGCTATGCCTGATTGTCCAGTGCCATTGTGAAAGGGACTAATATGTGTCCTCTCACCAGTCCAAGAATCAGATGGCAGATTTTAGAGGGCACTGACAAGGCCTGTGGACCTCCCTGCAGGGGACCAGTTACAGCTTCATGATCAAAGGTGAGCTGGCAAAGATGTAAGCATCCATTCCTTTCTGGAATCGGGGTCAACTGTACATGTTGCTGGCCTGGTATATGGCCAAGGCCCATGCAGAATACCAAAGTGCAAGACAGGAATGGGAACCTAGGTTGCCATGGTAACAAGAGGGAACTTCTCTGGGAAGAAATTAGAAATGGATGCCATTAGCTCAGGCCCATATTATCATTGTAAGTGATCCCTCTCCCAGTCAGGGAAAGGGTGTGTCAGCATTTACAGACTCCCCTAAGGTATCTGATATAAAGACTCTCTCCTATCATAGCCCAATTCAAGTCACCAAAAGTCTTTTGGGGGTTTGTTTTGTTTTGTTTTGGCACTGAGGATTGAACCTAGAGTCGCTTTACGGCTAAGCCACATCCTCAGGACTTTTATTTTTTATTTTGAGACAGGATCTCACTAAGTTGCTGAAGCTAGCTTTGAACTTGACATCCTCTTGTCTCAGCCTCCCGTGTAGCTGGGATTACAGGTGTGCACCACTGCACCTGTAGAGCTTAACACTCAGCTCAAAAAAAAAAAAAATCCAGGAAATTTAATAATTGACTCTGACACAACACAACTTCCTGGGTTCTGCCTGAAATCCACCACACTAGCTCACTAAGAGAGGTGAGCATGACAGGTAACGAAGTAAAAGCCCTGTGAGACTCTGCCACATGCTCCTCTCAGGCAGGGGTATCTGCGTTTTACTGGGTTTGGGCTTGAAGCCGGCCTAAGGCAAGATGCAGGCAGGAGTCATTCATTTGGGAGGCTACTGCAAAAAGCCCCAGCATTGGGTTGGGGTTGTGGCTCAGTGGTAGAGCACTGTCTGAGGCCCTGGGTTCAATCCTCAGCACCAAATAAAAATAAATAAAATAAAGACATTGTATCCAACTACAACTAAAAAATAAATGTTAAAAAAAAAGCCCCAGTATTTCAGAGAAATGAAATAGGACAAGGAATCAGAAGAGGATGTGTCCCCTGTTGGTGGTCAGGGCACAACCTAGCTGAGGGCTCCAGGAAATGAGCTGCTCCCTGGATCAGGACCTCTCTAGTACTTTCTGTTGGAAAAGAGCCATAGATGCTTCCAGTCAGCCTCAGAATGGCCGGTGAGTAGGATACGGGCAGTTTGAAATGCCTGTGCAACAGAGCTGGGACCTGGCCATCCCTTAGCACATGTCTTCTAGCCCGAGCTCCTCATTCCACTGAGCGGGATTCACGTTTGTTTTTTGTTTGTTTGTTTGTTTGTTTGGGTACCAGGAATTGAACTCAGGGGCACTCAACCACTGAGCCATATCCCCAGCCCTATTTTTTAAATATATACATATATTTATTTTTTAGAAGTAGTTGGACACAATACCCTTATTTTGTTTATTTATTTTTATGTGGTGCTGAGGATCAACCCAGGGCCTTGCACGTGCCAGACAAATGGTCTACCGCTGAGCCACAATCCCAGCCCTCCCCAGCCCTATTTTGTACTCACTGAGTACTTAGTGCCTTGCCATTGCTGAAGCTGGCTTTGAACTCGTGATCCTCCCTGTCTCAGCCCTGGGATTACAGACATGCGCCACCATATCCAGCAGGATTCACGACTTTTTTTTTTTTTTGGTACTGGAGATTGAACTCGGGGGCACTGGACTACTGAGCCACATCCCAGCCCTATTTTGTATTTTAATATTTAGAGACAGAGTCTCATTGAGTTGCTTAGTGCTACGCTTTTACTGAGACTGGCTTTGAACTCCTGATTCTCCTACCTCAGTCTTTGGAGCAGCTAGGATTACAGGTATGTGCCACCGTGCCTGGCCAGGATTCACATTTTATTTATTTATTTATTTTTAAGAGAAATGTTAGGTTTTATTTTTTTTATTTTTAATTTATTTTTTTTTAGAGAGAGAGARAGAGAGAGAGAGAGAGAGAGAGAGAGAGAGAGAGAGAGAGAGAGAGAGAGAATTTTAATGTTTATTTTTTAGTTTTCGGCGGACACAGCGTCTTTGTTTGTATGTGGTGCTGAGGATCGAACCCGGGCTGCATGCATGCCAGGCGAGCTCTCTACCGCTTGAGCCACATCCCCAGCCCTCACATTTTATTTTATTTTTTAATATTTATTTATTTAGTTGTAGTTGGACACAATGCCTTTATTTTATTTATTTATTTTTATGTGGTGCCTAGGATCAAACTCAGAGCCTCACACGTGGTAGATGAGAATTCTATCACTGAGCCACAACCCCAGGATTCACATTTTAAATGATACAAATTTTTAGTACCATTTGGTCCCTAACCAACAGCCCATATCTCCAGTCTGCTTCCCAGCTGAAGAAACTGTGAGGCTTCCCCAAGCCAGAGGAAAAGCCAGGAAAGGTGGACTTTACAGAGATAAGATTTTCAAGAGGAACTAGAACTTCATGGGAATTGTACCAGCAGGACAATAGAACCTGATCATCCTGCCACCCAGGAGACCAGACTCTGTTGATGTGTTAACAAAGGGCCTGGGTGGGCTGGGGAGATAGCTCAGTTGGTAGAGTGCTTGCCTTGCATGTCCATGCCAAGGCCATGGGTTCAATTCCCAGCACCACATATTAAAAAACAAAACAAAACCAACAACAACAACAACAAAAAAAAAAGGGCCTGGCCCCACCCTTAAGTATCACCTCTGTGAGCAGAAGCAGGTCCACAGCATTTCCACCACAACTAGACTTAGGAGACCTCCCCAGGTGCCTTCTGGGTTTCAACAGAAGAGGGCGGCAGCTGTGCAAAGGGCCTGGGGAGGGCCCTGAGGTTGAAGATGCTGTCCTGGACCTCTTGACCCTGCTACCACATGAAACAGCCACCCACTCACCTCTGCATCTCATTCACACACACACATGCCCACACACATGTGCATGCACACACAGGCCTCCAGAGTTGAGGACTCCCTTGTAGTGAAGGGGAGGAAGCAAGACAAGTGAGACAGAAGTTGCTTTCACACAGTTTATTTTTCAGAGTCCAGAGGCAGGGCGGGACAAACTCTAGGACCGTAACCTGGGCGCAAGACTTTGAAAGAAATCCTTGATTTTCCTGCCAATGTTCTCAAGTTTTTCACCAATCTTCTCTCCACCTTTTTTCAGGAGCCCACCTAGCCGGGCAATTTTCTTGAAATGCTGGGGCTGTGCGACAGGAAGAAACAAGTTCCTTAAAGGGCTGCGCTCAAGGGTGCAAGACCCCTGTCCACTTAGACCTCCCTCAGGGGATTTGGAGTACCAGGTCACCCTCTTCAGATTGTGACCTTTGGAGCACATAGCTGAATCCCTACTCTTAATAAAAAGATGGAAAAAAAAATTGAGGCTCAGAAATGGCAAGGGGCTCCCCCAGGGTCCTCAGAGCCCACTACCCTAAGTCAGTGTTCTCAGTCTTCAGCAGGAGTCAGAATCTCCAGAAGAGCTTATTAAAAGACACATTGCTGGACCTCACCCCAGAGCCTCATTCAGTAGTTCTGTGTGGAGCCCAAGAATGTGCATCTCCAACAAGTTCCCAGGTAAGGACCAATCTTCAAGAACCACTGCTCTCAGGAATTGCAGGGTTGGCCCTGGATATGGGATCAGGCTAAGGGAGGACCCCTGGGTAGAAGGAGGTTTTTCCTGCTCTGGGTAAGGCAGTGGCTGACTGGTGGACAGATTATCCATGTGCCATTCTCATCAGCCCCTGCATCCCAGAATAGCCCACTCACCCCGTCACAGTTGATGTCAAAAGAGTCCCTGGCCGGGTCCAGGGTGACGGTTCCCACACATCGTTTCACCAGCTAGAAAGGGAATGCTCAAAGTCAAACTGGAAACCCTTTACCATAACTCCCAGCCCTGCCTTGGTGGCTGGAAATGTTCTCCAAGGACCCTTTATCCAGCTCCTCAGGAGGTACCTACCCACCAGCACTCCCAGCCTCAACCTCACCCCATCCTCTTTGAAGTCACACTGCTCCAAGGTCTGTTGAGTCGTCTTGGGACATACTGTCTCCTTCACTGTGAAGCTCACAGGCTTTGGGGTATCTGGGTCCTCATCCTGGTCAAGGAAAGAAGTGGGGAGTCCAGGCTCGAGCCCAGTTTTTCTTTCTCTGATCAGTCTTCCTGATCCCCATCAAGGGAACAGCCTTTCATCAACATCTATTATGTGCCAGGCACTGAGAACAGAGAGGAGGAAGATGAGCCCCTTTCTGACCTCCTTAAGCATCCCTAATGAGGGGTATCTCCCCTCTGGGAGAGAGGGAAACCAAGGGCTTCCTGGAGGATGAGACCTTCAGGACCTCAAGCCTGGCCAGAGCCCTTCTCTATACAGAGAGACAGAAGAATCAATAACCTCACCCTTGTCCCTGGAGGTCCCAGAAGTCCCTGCAGCCTGTGTGGAGTAGGGATAGAGTACATCTGCCACAACAGAATGCTAAGGTTGAAAAACATCACGCTAGGAGAGGACATAGCTCCAGGAAGTTTCCCTGGAAAAGGGAGGATCACACCAACAGGAGGAAGTGCTTTCCTGGCAGAAGACAGAGCAGAAGCCCAGAGTGGCCAATCCTAGCCAGAGCAGAGTCAGCCCTCCCTGCCAGCTCACCCCCCCGGGACTGGGAATCCAGGCTCAGGAGGCGGTAGAGGTTGGCATCTGAGGACTGCTGGTTGAAGCCATCCACAGCACGGAGCACAGCCTCCTGGTAGCTGAGGGTCTGGGCTATGGCTAAAGGCATCATCAGGCCCAGCAGCAGCAGCAACAGTGACCGCCACTCCAGAAAAGGGCCTTCTCTCTGGGTCTGCATGGTCTCCAAGACTGCTTCCTCCAACCCACAGGAGCCTCCTTTATGCTCAGTCTGAGCCTGATGCAAAGACCCAACCACAAGCCCTCCTGACCCAGCCCCATCTTGGGCTGGCCGCCAGGGCCTGGGCTGCAGCTCAGCCCCACTGCCTGCTGTCATCTCATGGGGGCTGGGCAGTGCGCCAGATCAGCCTGATGTGCAAGACAAAGAAAGAATTTCCCCATCTCCCTGAAATGGCCTCAGGAGATTTCATGGCCTGGGTTGCTCAAGAGGGTTGAGCCCGGAAAAGAGGAAGAAAGCCAGTTCCTGCCCTGCACACTGTCTGAGTGGACACTCAATTAACATTTTTTTTTTTTGTACCAGGGATTGAACCCAGGGGGACTTGACCACTAAGCCACATCCCCAGCCCTTTTTTATATTTTATTTAAAGATAGGATCTCTCTGAGTTGCTTAGGGCCTCACTAAATTACTGAGGCTGGCTTTGAACTCAGGATCCTCCTGCCTCAGCCTCCTGAGCCTCTGGGATTATAGGGGTGTGCCACTGCACCTGGCTTCAATTAACTTTTGATGAATAACAGTATCTGTGCCCCTACCCTAGATACTCTCCCACCCAAGGGAGAAGTTTTCCCCACACTCAGTTCAAGGCTGGACCACCCTGTTCCCCGTACCTGGCCTTCAGTCACCTCAGGGACTTGGCTCCATGTCTCCCTCTCCTGGATCCTTCTCTGTTGCCTCTTTTCGGTCTAAAAATGTCCTGGAATCCCTCGCACCCAGCAGATGTGGCCTTTGGCCCTAGGTCCTCCCCACCTGAGCCTGAGGCAAGGCTGTCTATACTGGATGGATCAGCTTTTTCACTCACACTCAAGCCCCAACAGGCTGGCCAGCCCTCCCTGGGTCCAGTGACCACTCTCAAGTCTTGTCTTACTGTATATAGGTGCAGGTGACAGCTTCTCCACCTGAAACTGCCCTGGCCCATCTCCCCGGCTGCCATTCTCCTGCTTTTCCTACTGTCTTTGCCTCTTCCAAGGGCTGTCCTCTTAATATCAGGGGCTTGGGCTGCTTCTCTTCCAAGTTCTCAAGTCTTCCTGGATACACTCCCTCCCAGGACACCAGTTACAGCGAACCAGACACCACCTGGTCTGTATCTCTGAGTTCAAAATTCCCATGAATCCCCTGGTTGTCCCCACTAGGCTCCCTCACCTGATCTGTTGAATACTCACTAAATAAGCCCTGAGCTAAAAATCTGAGGAACAGCCCACCTGCTCCTTCCTCTCCTGGGGGCACACCCTTCAGATCTCCCCTACCACCCACTTTCTCTTCCATGAATTGCCACCCAAACCTCCAGACTCCACCTTCCCTGAGTTCCAGGGTCTCCCCAGACCGCAGTCTACCCTCTACACCATTGTCCAGGGTCTCTTCCTAACCACTGCTTTGGCCATTTCAAGCCCTGCCTTTAGAAGCCTACACACGCTGGGCCTAGCATCAAGGCCTGCAGCCCTGTTTCTCCCCATGGCCCTCACCACAGCCCTGCACACCCCAAGTGCCAGGCTGCCACACACATCCCAGCCACTTTGGCCCGCTAAGCCTCCTGCCCTTTCTCCCAACTCTGCACTGCGTCCTTCCGTTTGGTATATCCTTCCACCAGCAAAGCTTTCCCTGGCCTCCAACCAGACTCATCAACCTCCTTCTCTTTGCTCCTGCAGCCTCCAAAAAGTCTCCCCTGACTTAACTTCAAATGATTCCTTGTCCAGTAGCTGAGATCGTAAGCTGAGGTGGCTGGGTTGGGCAGGGGGGAGAACACAGCTGTAAGAGGGAATGAACCAAATTAGGGTTCCAGTTCCTCTGTGGACTGGCCATATGGCCATGAGGTCTGGGGTAACTTTTGACCTTTGATGATATGGGTTCCCCAGGGGCTTGGACAGGACACATTGAAAGGACACACTGATGATACACTGGCCTGGGGGGAGGAAGGAGAAGTGGGCTGCTGTGCAACCTGGTTTCACAGTCCTGTGTTACCCCAGTGGCCTATTGGTCAAGCACAACTTGCACTTCAAGCCCTTTAAAACAGCTGGGGAAAGGATCATCCAGAAAAGGGACATCGGGCCCCTTCGGGCTCTACTGGTTCCTTTACTTCGTCACCAGCTTAGGAGTCCCCAAGAAGCCAAACTGGGACAGAAGTGGGTGTGCATGTTAGTCCTTAGACTAGAATGAGACCTACCTCCTCCTGCATCCCTCTAGATGGGATCCAGCACTGTCAGAGTCCCTCCTAGCCAGCCATAGGGGACATTCTACCTCAGCCATTTTTAGGCTGTCCTTTCTCCTAGAATCTTTCAGAGCCCAAATGACTGACACCAGTCCCATGATACAAGTTAGAAGTCTGGGGATGGAAATGGCGTTCAATGGTAGAGCACTTGTCTAATATGTAGGAGGCTCTGAATTCAAATTCCAGCACTACAAAAAAAAAAAAAAAAAAAAAAAAACAGAAGTTTGGCCTTGAGGGCACACATATCCCCCCCTGTGGGCCACAACATGGGGCCCAGGCTTACCAGATTCATGAGAGTCTCCTCTAGGGCTGGGTATATTTGGTTGGAGTCCATCATGCCATCATGTAAGATAGGGAGGCTGACCAGAGCCTTAGAACCCATAGAAAGGAGAGGGGTTCACACGAGCTTTCCTTTTCATATGTCTCACCCTCTAACAAGGTAATCAGGAGGTTCTAAGAAAAATCAGAATCAAGGGAGAAAAGTGAAACTTCTCACATCAAGTCTTGAGAGCTGGACAAATATCCCTATGTCCCAATATCAACCCTTCCCAAAGGCTCATCCCATCCTGCAGACCAAAGAGGCACCATCTCCTATACATTGCAATCAGAGAAACAAGCCTCTAAGGCCACTGAAGGCTCTGGAAGATCTTCCATGAATTAGCAGATACTGGAGCCCCTTCCCATTCCAGAATCCCTCTCTCAGTGGGTGACAAGAAAAAGAAAAGAGGGCTGAGGTTGTGACTCAGTGGCAGAGCGCTTTCCTAGCATATGTGAGGCACTGGGTTTGATTCTCAGCACCACATAAAAACAGGTAAACAAAATAAAGGAATTGTGTCCATTTACAACTAAAAAAGAAAAAACAAAAAGGAGCTGGATTGGAGACATAACTCAGTGGCAGAGTACTTGCCTCGCATGCAATTCCTGGTATCAAAAATATATATAAATCTGCCCCTTGCACCAGGCTGTCTTTGTTCAGGCCTCAACCCTGCTGTGACTAGCTGTATGGTTTGTCCTGAACACAGGCATAACTGCTCTGCACCTTAGTCTCTTTCCTTGTAAAAATGGGGATAGCATTTACAGAGAGGACCTGTTTATAGAATTATTTTCTGGGCCAAATGCAGCATTGTGTGTGGTCGGTATATATGAGTTGCTGCTTTAGTTGTTGTTATTGTGAACCCTTAGGTTAATACTTCAGAAGTAAATATGGACCCCAGGAGGGAGTGAAATTGGTGACTTACGCCATGAGCTGATGTCTCTCAAGGAAGTTGCAATCCTCCAAATGAAGGTTTTACACAAGGTAAGCTCCAAAAGGCTTTTGCATTTTTATAGGATCAAACAAGAAAAAAGACTTTGATGATGGAATTTTAAAGGCCAGGATAAATAAAATATTTTATTACAGAATCTCAAGTGTTATTGCTAGTTGGAGCCAAGAGATAGTAATGGCTCACAAGCCCAACCATCACAGGAATCTCCCTATGCCACACTACAGAAGCAAACATGTAGGTCACATGCCTGTGTGACCCCTCCAGCAAGAGGAGGGAAGCAGTTAGATGTAAGACATCCCAACTTGCTCAGTTGCTCACAGATAGGATTTAACCTCCCTCACTCTGCCATAGAATGAAGTCCCCCTGAGGATCTGTGTGGACTGCAGTGACAAAGAGTGAGCACGCAATACCTGACACATAGCATGTGTGCTTAAAGTGCCTGAGCAGTCAGCCCTCCCTCTCCCACAGACCCCAATGGACTTCCAACTCTGCAAAGCAGCTAAGCAAGGATGGACACAGGGGACAGCCATCACAGGTAGCTCAACCTTTACTTCTAGCAAGTTACCTCCCCTCCCCGAGTCTGTTTTCTTGAGCAAAATTGGAAACAGAAACCCCAACTCTGCTGGACAGCAATGCACTGGGGTCAGATATATGTTCAGAGACAGAAGTTCCCCTCCTGTTCCTGGGCCACAGACAGAGTGCACTTGTACTCTGTGGCCAGCAGAGGGTGCCAGCCACAGGCTCTACCCAGTCTCTGCACAATACCCCCTTTGAGGCTTTATTCTCACTGGCAGGATTGCTTTGCCAGAAGACCTGAGGTAGGGGGGTGTCCCAAGCACCATCAGTTCACCAGTTGCTTGACTTGGAGCAAGTTGCTTTGTTTTCCTGTGAATGTCCTTGTCTGTAGGATGGGAATGACGTGACCTGCAATGCCTGTGTGGGGACAAATGTGACCATGGGTGAGAAATTCTATGTTCACTGTAAAGTCCTAGACTCCTGGGCATTTTTGTGAGTGAGGTCAGGGTCAGGTCTCTTTGTTCTGCACTGCCTTAGCCCAACTGACCCAAACAGACACATCCATTTGCAGAAAAACTTGAAAATTATGCCCCAACGTTGCCAACAACTCCTCTCACTGACCCAAGCCCTGGACACATTTTCAGAGCCAACTTCTCTAGGAAGTTTGCCCAACATCACCTCCAGATAGCATCCTCAGCAATGCATCCCCGACCCCACCCCAACATCAGACTGGAGACAGCTCACCAACCCCACTTTCAGTCTGTTTATCTGTCAGACAAGTCCCCAGGGTGGGGCCACCTGTCTCCTCAGGCAAGAGTCACAGAGGCCTGTGCTGTCCCTCAGACAGGCACTCTCCAAGTTATCCCTTCTGTTCAGGCTTTCAGTGAGGGGCTACTCCTCCTCCCCAGGCCAAAAGTTTCCCTAATGTGACAAACTTGTCTGTCCCTCAGACAGGAGCTCCC